GGTAAGCATGCTCCCTGCGGCCCTGCACTCTCCTTTACAGGCCAGTGATTAGCATCCCTGCAGCTAAACCCAGATGCTAGCAGAAGTGACACTGGAGCAGTGGCTGCGGTATGCTTCCTGCCAGCCTTCATCAGCACTGCTATACGGACTACCTCACGCCACAATACAGGCCACGGCAGTCTGGCTCATGTGTACCACTAAATAAAACAACATATCATAGATTCAAAACATTATGGTCAGTATAACTAGCAGTATATTTAGATGCTCACATTTCAGTTAATTAAGATTACATTTATCTCTCCTAGGTCCTTCACAGGCCTTGAGATGCATCTTCTTATGTTTTTTCTGATCATTTTTCACTCGTAACTTGTTGAAACAGGAAGAGAAATTATGTGAAAAGTGCAGATTCTGAAATTTCAACTGATGCCGCATTTGTTTTTGTAAGTAGAAGAGGACATATTTTATCATGATTTTTATTGAATTGATATTGGAACAAATGGAAAAAAGTCTCAGAAGTGCAGGCCTGAATGTAAATTGAGCTAAATATATAGAATAGAGTAGAATAGAATAGAATAGAGTAGAATAGAATAGAATAGAATAGATGTTTCCAAGTATAAATTGAAGTGTATTTAAAATATATTTAAAATGTTAAAATTAAAGTATGGGCCAGGTATAAATTAAAGCTAAATGTAATTTATTATGTAACAATGTAATTGACTGTGTAATAGCATAATTACATCTTAATAACTATGTAATTGAAAGCAAATGTATGGCAACATGGCAATAATAACATAATATCTACTAAATCTACATACTTTTAGTACATATCTACATACATATCATGTTCAGTATAGTTTGGTATATTCCAGTTTCTGTTCGAGCCAAAATTATGCTAATAATGAAAGGCAACACAATAGTGTTCTCAGTGGTGGGCTTTGTGTCTCCATAGTAGAGGTATTTGTGTGAGTGTGTGTTACTCTGTGGTATCTGAAGGGGTTTTCCCTTTGAATTAGGATGTGCTTTGGAGTGGATGAGCTGCTAAGCTGCCCTCACAGCGTTCTCTTTCCTCTTCTTCTCCGCTCCGGCTTTGAGAGGATTTAGACGGAGCTCTAAGTTTAGTCCTAGTGCGGAAGACCAGCAAGGCTTTGAGCTAGCCTAAACTCTCCGAGCTAAATCCACTCCCTGTGAGGGCACTGGCAGGTGCAGTACAGAGCCTTTAGCGGGACCCCCTCTTCTGAAGCGGAAGTTCAGGGGGCAGGGGTCACATGCACAAACACAGGGGGTCATTGAACCAGCTGCAGGACAAAACAAGGACCTCAAGCAGAGAGAAAGAGAGAGAATGGGAGAGAGAAAGGGGGATAAAGAGACAGTGAGTTTGCAAATAATGATAATAATAATAATAATATTGTATTAGTGTTCACTGGTGCATCTGTGTGTGTTGGTGCATTGGCAAAATAAGGCATTTAATCAAACAGAAACACCCCAAAGAGAGAGAGAGAAAAAAAAAAAAAGATATGACCAAATATGTTTTTTGCTAATTAATTTAATAGTCTTTTGAGCAAGATTAATAACTTTCATATATGAGCAAACCTACACATTTGAAACTTTGAAAAGTTCTTGCAGCAACCGTTTTCAACAATTCAGCCAAAGAGACATTTTCTACAAAGGTCTAGTAAATTTATGCAAACACAATGAATTCAATAGAATTCTATGTTAATTGAACCAAACAAGCTTTATAACTTAAATACATTAAAATATGTGCATCAAAATAAACATGATTAGTAAAAAGATGCGGTTCTCTTAAACGTGGCAAATTTATTTTTGACCAAAAGTAAAAGAACAAATTTCAACACAATAATGTTTAGTTTTAAAACAAGACCTGTTTTATATTAAATGCAGTACATAGACTTACCTCATTGTTTACTCTGGGAGGTTTAGTTATTCCATTGTGTTAAATCTACTAACCCCACTGTGTGGAGGCTGTATTTTAGCCAGGCCTCTAGCTCTCACCATGAGCTGATTACATACTTCAAAACTGTACTGTGTTACTGACACAAAAAGGGTGATTAAAATAATATGGGTGTATTTTCCTGTGAATTATACACACAACCCAGTCATCAAGAAACACTTTTGAAAAAGCTACTTTCATGGTACAATAACAGTCTTCATGGTCCTTCTTGAAAATGAATCTGTCCTGACTGCTATGAAAATTTGCTGATGACGTTGTTATGATTATACAATAAAGAGACCAGCATGTTCAACTTAAATCTGTTTATATCCAATATCTTTATATTTACATTCATAGCTGGCTGGAATATATTTAACAAAATAAAAAAATGTTACATTTTACCCTGCAATAGTTTGCACGTCATTCTCTCCTACATGCTGTTTTTACTGGATATACCAAATGTTCATTAACATGGATTAAGCCTAATCTTGGACTAAATTTCAGTGTCAATAGAGAATGACCATTTGAAATTTCTTTTGGTCCAGACTTAGGCTTAATCTGGGTCTGAGAAGCTCTAATTTTTTAGTGACTACACTCACTAGTCCAGAGAAGCTACAGAAAAGTTAATCTATAATGTATCATTAATCTTTAAACACTTTTAATCTTTAAACATCTTTTAACTGTATTGGATACAGTTTGTTGATTTGACCCTTAGATGCATCTACTGTATAATGACTACACTCACTATTCACTAAACACCCTAGTCCAATGGTGCCCAACTCCGGTCCTAGAGGGCCCAGCACATTTTGGAAATTTCCCTATTTAAACACATCCACTAAACTGGGCAATTAACAGATAAGTGTAAGCAGGTGTATTTAAGTAGGAATATCACCAAACTGTGCTAAATACTGGCCCTCCAGGACCGGAGTTGTGCACCCCTGCCCGAGTCATTACAACGAATATGAGCCTGTCAGTACAATGTAGGCAAAAGTCAAGCTAATCTATAAACTATAAACCGTATGCAGTCTTAGTCAGTTGTATAATTGCACATTTACTGTATAATGACTATACTCACTAGTCACTACACCCACTAGTCACTACAGTGATTATGAGCATAGTCAGGACAATGTAGGCAAGAGTCCAGCTAATCTATAATCTACAGTTGTATATAAAAGTGAAGTGAATCAGTTACCATATCCTCTACAGAGAACATGCTTCTGCACATTTTAATACACAATCACTGTTTGCTTAATTTAACTTATAGGAAAGAAAAGAATAAATCATAAAATATGGCCTATATTTTATATATCTTGTTTTATTTTTTCTCCAATGTATTTTACTCAGCAAATACGTATAAGCTTCACTAACATTTGTAGCAAAAGCCTATGTTTAAGTGTGTTGTCTGTAGAGGATGTGTTAATTTTTTTTCACTTAGAAAATCTATATGTTGACCAGTGATGTTCAAACCTTAGCATATGTCTGTATAATTAATCCATAAATGAGCTTTTATCCATTTTTATTGAATACAATGCATGCTGTTTTAGTTTCCACATATACTGTATAATGATTACACTCACTACTGACTGCACACAGTAGTCACTTTAATGAATGTGAATCTAGTCAATACCATGTAGGCAGAAGCCCAGCTAATCTATAATCTATAATTAACCTATAAATGTTTTTTATCCTGTTTTTTATTGGACACACTGCATGTTGTCTTAGTTGCCAGTTGTATGAGTGTGTAATGACTACACTCACTAGTCCTAGCATAGCCTTGTAGCGCTGTGTTCTTCAGCCAGCTGTCATGCAGAGTGTTTGCACTGTGGTTTGATCTGAACAAATTAATGTTGTACATAAAAAGAATTCCTGGCTTGCTCTTGTGCTGAGGTCAGGCCGTTCGTACAGAAAGGTAAAACGCTCTCTTCTCTTCTCTTGAGTTGTTTTAAATATGGATGAGGTCATTTTTCAAAATTTTTCAAAAAGTGAACCAGAAAGGCTCAGGATTGGAGATGTGATTGAGAAGTTTATATCAACTGTAGTTCTGTGAGTTTGGTCTGAGAGGCGACCGGTGTCTTCTCAAATGCCATTCCACATCCATACCTGGCTTTGAATGCTTTTTCTTGATTTGTTACAGTGCTATTTCAACACTTTGGCAGGGACGTACACTGAACGTCTGAAAAGCTTTTTAAGATGGCTCCTGGTCACCTCTTTCTCTCTATTTCTGTCTCTCTTGCTTTCTCTCTCCCACTCATGCACACACGCACACACACACACACACACACACACACTCACACAGATTCTCCTTTTCCCAAGCTTAAATGGATAATGGGGAACTAGAATGACCTCATGCCCACACACAGGCGTGCGTGCACGCTCACTTTTTTTTTCTTTTTCCTCGAATCTAACCATTTATACTACAATGATGAAGGACAACTAGCAAAAAAAATAAAAAATAAGAGAAAATTAGTGGGGGAAAAAAAATTAAACAACCCTCGAATGATTTCTAATAGCCTAATGCGTAATTATAAATCTCGGGTATTCAGCCTGTGAGCAAAAATAAAGGCAGCCGACGCAATGCCAATCACTGCTCCAGCTTGGATGATAATCTTTGCACAGCCGGCACCATGGCAACCAATATTAAGTGGACACTGTAATCATATCATTAATTCAGCTTTGCGACCTCTTTGTCTCTATTTTTAAAACAGGTGAGAAAGTAGCAACTGGCAGCCTCCGCAGACCAACACGACTCTTCTGGCGCTCAACATTCCTCCTCGCTCACCGCAAAGCAATTTGCCTTTAGTGTTGATCACTGAGAAAGCAACGGGGGGCCACTTAATGCCTTTTACTCAGAAAACACACGCACAGAGAGAGAGAGAGTTTGTAGATATTATGTTGTGTACACTGGCAGCACTGTATATAGAATGAAGGAGTTTTTCCATCCCATAATCTAATGTGCAGTTTTATTTATCATTTTAAAACAAGAAACAAACCATCTGCAGTGGTTATTACTGCTTAACTTAATGTATTTGTGTCTTTTTCTTTATTTTCTCAGGACGTCAAAATTCCTGGGCGTAATTTGGCTGACTGTTACTTGGATAAAGGTCAGAACCACACTCTAGAGCTGGGCGTACACTACACTCTAACAGCTTTTAAAAATGAGGAGCACTTATAGTCAGTCTTTTACAGAATTTGAACTCTTTGCTACATGGCATTGACGCATCATTGCAGATGTTATATGCTGTCATTAGCTCTTATGACAGATTATGTCCAGTAATATAACAGTGTCATGTTACCATTACTGTTAACATTGTCATGTTTGATGTCATGATGGGTAACTACACAATACTTAGCATAAATAAACATAAGCTGTCATGACATCAAACATTATGGCATTTGTTATGACAGCTACCAGTAATGATAACATGACACTGTTATACTACTGAACTAAATGATACCTCATGACAGGATATGACATTTGCTATTATGTTTATGGCAGGGTTATGTCAAGGTTATGTAGCTCAATTCACCCCTTAAAATTCCAGGCTTATGACATACTAAGCCTTATTATTCAGTGACTACAGGGGCTTTCATGCAAACTAGCTGAGCTAATCTTAGATGTAGTGTAATCTTGGCTTGTCTAATATTAGAGTTTTAATAAAACCTTGGGCCTGCCAGTAGGCCCTGGCTATTTAAGGGGTTAAAGTTTTACCCAGAATTTCTTGTCTTTTTGGTTGGAGGGCGCTCACACTAGATGATTAGGTCAACACATAATGAGTTTCAGCTTAAAACAACTTAAAATCCCAAATCTTACAAATTCATTTGTGCTTTTTTGCAAGACGTTGCAAAAGTGCAAAATGCGGATGAATATGGGGTTGGTAGATATAGTTATTATTCAATTTTTCAAATAGAACTGGAGATGCACTGTACTACAAATAAGCAGTTGACATGAAATTGTAGAGTGCCTAAAGTTCTGGTCATTGTAAAGGCACTGAAGTTATAGAGACACTGTGCATTGGCCATTTTTCAACAATCAGCTCCTCTATCGCTGTCCCTTCACCTTTTTCTCAGTTCCCTTAGCTTGTTCAGTTATGTTGCTTACCATGTAACACCACAGGACTTGTGTACGTTTTCACCTGGAGCTCAGTCAGAAGGCTAAAGATCACACTAGAAAAAACAACTGGAAAACCTGAAGTATGTCTTCAAAATTGTGAAAAATTGTTAGAGTGAGGCAAAATTAATCATGTAGTGAACGCCGAGCTATGCACACTCTTACTCCTGTACTCATAGTCATATGTGCATATAACCATATACACTTACACTGAGTTTAATAGGTCCACCTACAGTCAACCATACCTACCGTACCTACCATATTGGTGCACTTTATAGGTTTGCAGTTACTGACCGTAGTCCATCTTTCGCTGTACAGTTTATGAGCCCCCCACCCTGTCAATCAATGGAAAAAGACCACCATAGGACCACTGCTGTCCTGATATTACTTGCATGGTGGACACTGGCATGCTAGTGGATGGTAATGTGTAATGCACTACAGTGAGTACCATGGACATGTTAGAGTCAATTAAGAGATGCCAATATGCTAATAATATCTGGTCAGTGGTGGCTCTTTTTTACTAATGGAGCAAGGGGGTGGCTGATAATTTGTGCTTATAACAGATGGGCTGTATACTGAGCCCTTTTTTCAAACATGCTTATAACACTGACATTCTTAGACTCATGTTCATATTGTTGCTGTTGTATCAAAACCATGTAGTCTAAAATTGCATTAATGTACATTACAAACATTTTTTTCCCCTTTTTTCATTTACTATGGTTAACATCTCTGAGAAACTAGGTTTGGTTACAACAGTGAAAATCTGTTTATACATCAGACTCTTTCGTACTTTCACGCTTATATTTTTGGACACAGATAACGTTGTGAATCAACTCGCACATATTTATGGATACAAATAAATAAACAAGTCATAAATAGATGATACATATGAAAGCAGGCAAGCATGAAATATCTGTCTGACTCAACACGTTACCATTACTGCAAAATGGAAGTATCACTCATCTCCCATCTGCTGATCACTCTCTCTCTCTCTCTCTCTCTCTTCCTCTCTTTCTTTCATCCTTTTGCACATGCACTCACCCACATCATGATCAGCATCATCATCACAGTGACACACGCACATCCGCTGCTGGTGGGCTGTATGGGATGGAGTGGGCTTTGACAGTACAGAGAGGCAGAACACAGGAAGCACATTAGTTATCGGCTTCTGTCGTCTACACCTTTTCACATCCCATCACAGTTACATCCCTCCGTCCGCTCCCTCGCTCTCCCGCAGCCCCCCAAAGTCCTGCCCTGCTCCACTTCTGCTGTAGCACGATCTGCACACACTTCACAATACACACACGTGCAGACGAGCCAATGAAATATTTACACAAAGGACAGCAGGGTCAGAACGAGAAGAAGAGGGGATTGAAGGAATGGCAGAGGGAAAGAAAGAAAGAAAGAAAGAAAGAAAGAAAGAAAGAAAGAAAGAAAGAAAGAAAGAAAGAAAAGGAGACAGAATTAAAAAATTAAGAATGAAACAAACAAAGTAAACAAGCAAACAAACAAGTAAGCAGACAGAAAGAGAGAGAGAGAGAGAGAGAGAGAGAGAGAGAGACACTACATTAAAAATTAAGAAACAGAAACGATAGCATGAATAACATGAAAGAAAGAAAGAAAGAAAGAAAGAAAGAAAGAAAGAACGCATAAACAAAACAAATACACAAATAGGAAAGGGTGGAAAAAAAGAAAGAAAGAAAGAAAGAAAGAAAGACAGAAGCAAACACAAAGAAAGACACAAAGAAAGAAAGAAAGAAAGAAAGAAAGAAAGAAAAAGAAAATGCATGAACAAACAAAATAAACACAAATAAGGACAGATAGAAACAAACAAACAAACAAACAAATTCAAATAGAGTATAACAGTGTGTGTATATCTGTGTGTGTTTAAAAGACATACAGAGAGAGAGAGACAGAGAGAGAAAGAGAGAGAGAGAGAGAGCAGGAGAGAAGGGAATCAGAGGTTGTGGGTGTGAGTATCAAATCCATTTCCATTCATGTGAGCTGCTGAACTGCTGCTTTAAATCCTCGTGTCTGTAATGTGGACTGTGTGTTTAAGACGGTAGAGCAGATACACACACAGCATACAGCCTAATGAGGCCCTGTTCACAGCCTGGACAACATTCAGTCTGAACCTGTGTACAAACGTGATATTAATGTCCTGTTCTTACGGACATTACTGTAACTCCAGAGTCCAGAGTTATGACTTCTGTTTTGCTGTGCTATTCCAATTCAACTTCTAATAGGTCATTTTCAATTGACAAAGAAACATGGAAAAAAGTAATTGATATTAAGAGACGTTTTGTTTTATTGTAGAATCCAAATGTAATGATGTATTTACATATTTAGTTGCACAATATGTTACGGACTGAATAACATTTACGTTCAGTTTACATTCTGTATCAACACATTTGAGCACTTATGACTTTTTCAGTCTGTTTTGATGTCAAGAAATAATAAAAAAACCTAGATTTTTCTTATGCAATGCGGGATAATAACAAATTTTTAACTACAAACCAAGTCTAGAATCTACACTCTAACAGAATTTCTCCATTTGTTTCAATGAGCAACGATGCTTTTGATATCGCTGATGGTTACTGTGACTTCTAAGAGTTAAAGTGAATGAGTCGTCTGTACCAAGTAGGCACATTTTCACTGTTTGCCTGTGTTCTTACGGACTCTGTGCACACAGGGCATGAGGGACGCTGAAACAGAAACCTGTGTGTGTGTGCGTGTGTTGGGGGGTATTAGTCCGTGTGCTTTGCCCCCACTCACAGCTCTTAATTATTTTCTTAGTCAGCCGAGTGTGCGGAGTTTGGCCTGTGAGTTGTGCAAATGCTTATTTAAGCTGTGTAACTGACATCCATATGGTTTTCATCATCATAAAGAACCGTTTGAGCAGCTTATGTTTTCATGAAGCCGCAGCTCTGGCCTGTCCGTCAAACCCGCGCTGCTTCAGAGCTGCTCTCTGCAGTGTTCCCTCACACTCCACCATCTTCTTGTATTCATAAATGTTTAGAATTAAAGTACATAAATCCAATGTTGCTTGTGTTTTGTCCTCTTTTATAGCAAAGAAGAATCTAATGAACTGATTTGATTCACTTTGTTGCTTGTGTGGTGTTGATTGGTGAGATCAGTCGCTCTCTGAGATTTAAGAGATTTAATCCCTTAACTCCTTAGAAGGCAAGGTTTTTTACTGTTATTCAATTGTAATTAAACAATTTCATGATGAATTACATAGTTAGTTACATAATAATTACATTTACATTAGTTTACATTCTGTATCAGCAGCTTCAGATTTGTACGTTCAACTTTGCTTCATTGTCAACAGATTATTTTTCTTTTTTAAATTAGTTAAAAACTTCAAAGCTACACAAACGTCAATAACCTTTCATCTAATTTAAATCAAAACAATATATCTCCTCTTCTGCTTACAAACTCATGTTATTGGGGTATTTACCTATTTGAGTCTTTTGCTATTAATTGAAAATTTTGAATCATACTTTCAACAGAATTTCTCCATTTGTTTAAGTGAACTACGAGTGAGCAATAATTAATACCAAGATTTTATTATCACCGGTAATAACAGTGATCTCCCAGTGAGGACTCATATGTGAGCCTATGCAATTCCTCACCCTTATAACCGCATGTTTCATAATAAGTACCAATAATTTATAATAGTCACTGAGAAATATGGCTTTTTCATTATTCACTGAATAATAAGCCTAGGATTTGAGGGGTTATTGGTGTTTTGTTGTTAGACTTCAATGAGCCAACATCAAAAGCACTTCTACATTCACACATTCTACCATCAGTAATGAGTGATGAAGATTTATTGTTCATTAGCCTTTAGCCATGCATAAGCAAACATAGATGCACAGCAACATGGCATTGGACATAAAAATGAACAGACATATCACTGTTGTCAGAAGAAAAACTTTATC